GCTCATAAGGAGAATCAGCAATGCTACCTGGATTGTCCGGTAGGATGTGCGACTTCTTGACGGAGCGACAGACCCCAACGGATGTGTCGTCAGCAATGTTGCCGTCTATTGCAGTGTCTTCAATCGAAATATTCAGGGATTGCAAATCAAATTCATTTTAGCATCGAGCGACGCAATAGAGGCGAGTTTGGCTATCGCGTTCTTAACATCTGCCAACCTTGAAAGCAGCGCTGAAAGTTTAGCACCGGTGATAGCCGGGCGTGTCGATCTCTGAGCGCAGCATTCAGCACAGCCGAAAAGCAAGTGAACGCTGGATGATAGCATTTCGTACTGGTCATCTTGTAGACCGGTACATCTTCCGTGGTACCAGCGGCAGCAGACGTCACACTGCATATCGTCAGATAAATCTGTTACTGGCTCCGAACAGTTAAACTGTCCGCAAGCTGCACTAGACTCATCAAACGAGGACCCCAAAGGTCCATCCGCTCCGGTATTTAACGAGACAGCCCTGTTCATGTGGAAAACAGAAGAATTATAACACGTACACAACAGTAAAACGACCGCAAAAAAGCAAAACGGGATTAAAACCGGGAACAACCGGAAAGTCCAGTCCATAGAGTTGTAGAGAGCAGAAGGGAAGACCCGTGTCAGCTCCATTACCTCCCGTTCATTGGCTGGATGACCTGTCGATGCTAAACTGTGTTCCCCGAGGGATTGTTGCAGCTGCAGCAAAAACAGCGGAATCTAGGCATGCTCAGCATGTACTTGTCCAGTCGTTCTTTAAAACATTCCTCTGTCTGGGCACTTACCACACATTCAGAAAGATTGTTCCACTCATTCACAACCCGTGTGGATATCATCATTATCATACTACACGTTAGCTGGAGGTGGGGAACACCTCAGCTACTGTGCTGCAATACATGGAAAAAAGGTGAAAAAAAGCAACTGGTGCAAGCTGGCTGAGCTACCGGTAATGGATGGGCATCGTTCCGGTAAGCTACCAGCCGGCTGCTGTGCACCAAAAAAATTACTATGCAAAATTATATAAGGTTAAATAATGAGATCGTGGTTGGAGAGGGAGGCTAAGAGGGATGGAGTGGGACAACGAAACTCACAGCACGAACGCCACTGAGGTAGGCCCCTAGCCATATCAGCAAGTGTGTCCAACCAAACGTGTTCATCGTCTTTCGGACCCCAACCAGGGAGCCGAGACGCTCCAACCGAGGCCAGCTCAGAAGTGAGGGCCTTCATTTCTCTCGACCAAGTCATCGCTTGGCCACCCCTCCTCTTCTTCCATCCACACCCCCGGCGCCCAAACAACACACGTCGAGGGAGTCGGTGGGCTCGCATGCGTAACACGTGGCCGAGCCATCGGAGTCTGATGCGTGAAATAACGGTGCTGAGCGGTTCAGTTCCTTTTCCTGTGCCATAAACAAGGCGTCGAACACGCTCGTTGCTCACGCGGTGTTCCCACCAGATGTGAGCTAAATTACAAAGGCACCGGTAGTCGAACGTAACTAGCCTCTTCAGGTCCGCTGCTTTAAGCGGCAAGGTTTCACAACCGTACAGTAGGGTCGTACTGCTGCATTGTACACTCTACCCTTCAGGGCGAGAGTGATGTCGCGCCGCCGCCATAAGTGGCGAAGGTTAGCAAAAGCGCCCCGAGCTTTTGCTATACGATTCGTGATCTCATCTGCAATCCCACATGCGCTGATACAACTTCCCAGGTAGTTGAATTTATGAACGACTTCTAGCTGATCCCCACCAAGGGTCAGCGTAGGAGGCGGTCCAGACCAATCTTGGAGGAACGCTTTGCACTTCGAGGGTGCGAAGGAAAGCCCGAAGTGACTGGACAGCCAGTGCTAATCTGTCCAGTGCCGCTTGGCACGTCTGGGAGCTGTCACAGATTAGGGCAATATCATCAGCATACTCTAAGTCAAGAAGTCGTTCACCTGGGAGCAGATCCACAACTTCTAAGTCGTGCCCAGTAAACGCGATTTCCATGACTTCGTCAACAGCGAACTTGAAGAGGAAAGGTGACAGCCGGCATCCTTGTCTCACGCCGCTGGAGATATTAAAGGGCGACGACAACTTGCCGTAAGCCCTCACTCTGCCCGAGCTACGCGCACATAATGCTCGGATAATATTCACATATTTCTCAGGTACACCTTTCCTGAGTAGACAGTCCCAAAGTGCATGTCGAATGCACCTTTGATATCGAGGAACACGACTACGGTGGGCCGCCAGTATGTGTGACGGTGCTCCAACAACTGACGCAAGGTGAAGATGTGGTCAATGCAGCCACGAACTCGACGAAATCCAGCTTGCTCTTCAGGAATCTGGCTTTCACGAGTGCCAGTCAGTCGGTGAAGGATGACAGAGACAAACAATTTGGAGGCAATAGAGATCAGACTGATTCCTCTATGGCTGCCGCATTCCGATCGTGAGCCACCCTTGAAAATTGAGACTATGACGGAGCGGCTCCAATCGGTTGGGACAGTTTCCTGCTCCCACAGTTTCACTAGTAACTCATGTAAATCATCCAAAAGAGCAGGTCCTCCGAATTTGAAGAGGGCCGAAGGAAGGTCATCAGGTCCCGCGGATTTGTTTAACTTCAACAGTTCGATCTCACGTTCGACTTCTGAGCGAGAGGGTGGATCCAAAGGGACAGTCCAGGGAGCGGGGCGATCACTGGCCGGCGAAGAAGCGAACAATTCTAGCCGATTAAATTGCCTTTCAAAGTGCTCAGCCCAACACTCTAAGAGTTTTGATAAGTTGTGGATAGACTGTCCACTCTTGTCACCTATAGTTTCACTAACACCAGGTCTCGTGCCGCCCGTTTCCCGTAACAAAAGGGAATAACTTACGATGGTTACCAAGGGCAGCGGCCATTTCCATCTCTGATGCACGATGAGACCACCAGGATTCGCGGTCTCTTTTTAGGCTAGTACGAAGTTTTGCCCGGAGCACTTTGCGAGTTTCATTGTGTTCGCTTCCAGCCGGAATATGCCGGCGAGTATCTATAAGTTTCAGAGACTGAAGAGACCCAATGTCCATGTTGGCGATCAGACATACCACATGAGGATTTTCCTGCTGCTAGTAAGGTCTGGTGAATATGAGACCAGTGAGCTTCAATTGCACCCAGTAAGCGTTTATCCAACTCGCATGACAGCGTACTTTGATACGCATTCAGAACAGCTGGCTTCGCCAGTTGGCCGGTGTCAATGCGCTCACAAAATCGTCGTGGGCCGCCGCCAAAGCGCATCCGCAGGTCAGCACACACAAGTGCATGCTCGGTGTCCACACCTGTGCTCTAAATCGAGGGACAGTTCTGGACGCAGCCTCTCCATCGGTAACTTATCGCAATGTGGTCGATTTGCGTCCATAGCTGGTTCGAGGCTGGTGGGCGCCAAGTCAACCTGCGGAGGGAGCTGTGTCTGAAATTAGTGCCCGCAAGAAATAAGCGAGCATCCTCACACAAATAAAGTAACCGCTCACCGTTATCATTACGGGAGCCTATACCATGTTGGCCGCCCAGATGCAGCTCATCTGTGGATAATTTTCCAACTTGAGCGTTCAGATCCCCAGCCAGCACTACAGTGTCCGAGTTTCTTCTGTGGCTAAGGAGCTCGTTCAGTTGACGATAGAAGTCGTCTTTTACCGAGTCATCTCTACAGTTTGTCGGTGCATAGGCAGCGATAACGAATAGACACCTGTTAGTCCCACGCGACTTCAAAGTTTTGAACGAGCCAGCCAATCGGACCGCACACATCCGGCTACTGATTGGAATCCAATCAACCAGAGCAGCTTCAGCCCGGGGACTCAGGGCAATACCAACACCGGCTTGGCCGGTGCTCGAAGCTGCATCGTCACCGGATAGGCGCAATGAGAAAACACTGCTTGCGTCACCTGAAGGGGATCGCAGAGTGAGTACAGAGCTCGAGTCTTGCAGGCGGGTCTCCGATAAGCAGCAGATACCGATCAAGAGGGTCTCTAATGTTCAGGAAAGTGCTGCCTGTTGACCGATCTGAAGCAATGTGCGAACATTGAGGCATGCCAATCTGAAGGAAGATCGAGGGCTCCAAATGGAAGGTGATGAACTGGGCTTGGCCGTTTGGTTGGACATGGTTCTGTTGACAGGGCAGGAATGACGCTCTGCGTTCGCACGTGAGTTGAAACTAAAAGACAAGCGATTATTGAAGCAAGGTGGGGGAGGGCCGAGAATTGCGGGGTTGAAAACAGGGGGGATATAAGTAAAGTTGGAACGGGACGATAAGGGTGAAAAGGCGCGAGAAGGGGAATAAAAAGACGGGAAGGCTTGAGCAGTAGCATCCAAACCCCTATCCACCCTGCTCGATGCAGCAGATAGGGCACCGTTGATTATCCTCCGCGGTGGCCAGAGCATCAAGAAATTGTTTGAAAAAAGGTTCATTGCATTGCGTGGGCAGGATACTGCCAGGTTTCCCAGGCCTAGACAGAACGATTAGGGTTCTCAACCAAAGCCTTTGGTTCAAAAACCTAACCGCAAGGCAGCGGGTTTGGCATTGGGCTACAAGGAGTCCGTTTTAAGGAATAAGGTGCCACCCTCATACCAACCCCCAACCTGGAGGACTAGGAAGCTGAGTTTGTCTGGCCTCTAACCATTGACCAATCTGGTATGAGTGGCTTTGAAGGTGCAAAAGCACCACCCAGCATAGCTCAACGGATCACTGAGGCACACAAACCATCGCACCACGGTAAAGTCCAGCCTCATTGCGATGGGTAACGCGATATCGAACCGGATATGGTTCCACCGAGGTTTAAAAAGTTTCAAGCTGTGGCCCCGTGTCGAACAACCTGTGTTGAACTGGAAGAACTGCAGCAACTCCTTCCCCAAATCGCCCCTTAAAATGCGTCTAGTATAAATCAGATCACCACGGCGACGGCGGTAGTCCAGTGTAAATAAGTTCATACAATGGAGACGAAGAGGATAAGGTAAGACACATAGCATAGACACATACTTGGATCCGCCCCTCTGAACCTTCTCAATCGACTCATATGCAAATTTCGTGAGTGGGTGTATGGCAGGTAGGCTGTATTCCAGTATTGGACGAACGTGGGAGAAAAACAGGAGCCTGAAGTTCTGCAGAGTCAATTTGTAGAACGACCTTCGTATGGCACAGAGCATCCTGGTGGCAGATGCTATCTTCCGCAACGTGTCCTGGGTTGTTCTTATGTTTGCAGAAATAAGTACACCCAAATCCTTTTCACCAACCACATTCTTCAACAGAAATCCACCGATGTGGTAAGCACCGAAAGGTTCCTGATCACCGATCGGGAGAACACAGCACTTATCGCGATTCATAGGCATTTGCCACTTGACCGACCAATCGTGCAGCAGATCAGGCGTCAGCTGAAACCTGTCAGCATCTTCAAGCCTGGATACTTCCGACTAAAGATCATCAGCATAGATCAAGCAGTCGATTTGGAGTATCTCTGGGAGATCGTTGATAAAGATTTTGAATAGTTCGGGACCAAGTACGGAGCCTTGTGGAACCCCACTGGTCATAAGAACAGGCCTAGAGTCAACTTCATTAACCCTCACGTTCATACTACGGTTAGCTAGGAAATCCGCGATCCAGGCGAGCAATTTACTAGCGATGCCAATCTGCCGAAGTTTGATAAGAATTCGATTGTGTGGAACCCTATCAAACGCCTTGCTAAAATCCACAAAAACTACATCAAGGAGATGACCAGCATCCACTGACTGCGCCCAATTTCCTCGGCAACCAGCAGATTGGTAATGTAAGAGCGTGCCCTCCGAAATCCGTGCTGAGCAGATGAAGTCCAATTTCTCAAGGTGAAGATGCAAGGCCTGTTTCAAAATCCTTTCCATGGTTTTACAGAGGATTGATGACAGGCAAATCGGTCGGTAGTTCACTGGATCTTGGCGATTCCCACCTTTGTAAATGGGTTTCACAACATTTGCTTTCCATTTAGTTGGGAGACGACGTGCTTCAAATGAGCTACGAAATACTTGACAAATTGGTGCAGCAATGAACTTCGCCACCTCTTTGAGGAACAAGGGATGTAAGCCATCGAGACCCGGTGAAGAATTCGAGTTCAAGTCAAGAAGCAGTTCCAATACTCTCAGTGGTATTTCAACATGCTCTAATGGAGAGGGGTGACAGGGAGTGTCCTCAAGAACTAATGGCGCCTCCGTCGCATACACAGAAGAATATTGTGAAGCTAGAAGACAAGCTTTTGCCATGTCATCATGAAGCACGGTGTCTTCTTTGCTTGAATACAGTGCGAATATACCGTTGCCAGCTTTGGTGCTTCTTTTTAAGTGTGCGAAAAGCTTTTTTGGATTAACCACAGATTGCTCGGCCAGATGCTGCTCATATAATTCTCGCTTCTCGCGCTTTCTCGGGGTATATAAATTTCTAGCCTCTTTGTAATGCGCGTAATCTTGTGCCGTCTGAATGAACTTGAACCGGCCCCAAAGTTTCCGCCTTCTCATCATAAGCGATTTGATTTCCCGATCTATCCATGGGGGTACTTTGGAGAAAAATTGTTTTGTGACCCTTGGAACAACCCGATCAATGGTAAACATCATTTTGGAGCACAAAAGGTCCCAAGCAGCATCGAGAACCAACTGATGAGGGATGTTCCAGTCCATGAGGCTGGCAGCCAATTTTAAGCAGAGGGGGTCAGCTCGCAAGAAGTTTCGGCAATGCGCTCCTTGGACATTGATAGCTAACTGTCGTGTCCACAAAAAGGAGACTACACAGTGATCACCTTTTACAAGAGGCTGAAGAATGGCTAGAGCGGAAACATCTGATGAGCTAGGTGTGAGCACAAGGTCAAGGATGTGGCACATGGCCTGGAAAAAACGGGTAGCGGATAAAACGTGTTGCGTCAGATTACATTCGAGGAATATTTCTAATAAACGTGTAGCAAAAGAATCTGGAGATAAATTACAATGAAGTGCATCCCAGTCTAGGCCGGAGCATAAAGTCACCCGCAATCAAACAATCTTTGCCTCCCCCGTGTATCCTCATAGAGTCGATCAGGTGGGATCCTGACACCAAGGGGATCTGTAGATAACGCCGACTATGAGCGGTCGGAACCCATCGTGAACCCTACTCCAAAGAATTTCCGATCCTCCATTTAGATCACACATGGCCTCTACTGTGTGAACTTTAAGGTCTGACTTCCATTAAAGTGCAACACCGCCCCCGGATCTCCCTCCTAGACGATCCGCACGGGATAGTCGATACCCTGGAATAAATACTTCCGAGTCCGAAATATCCGAGGATAGCCAAATCTCCGTAAAAGCCATCAGATCGGGTTCTTGCTCCGATGTCATGAGCAGTATCTCATCCAATTTGTTTCCCAAATTACGCACGTTCGTAGATATTGCACACACTTCATTCCTGATTCTCAGTGCACCGGGAGAACGAAAATTGGTCTCCATTGAGTCCTCGGGATTCTTTTTACTACTCGAAAATCCACAATTTGAAGGTCGCTCTCACCAGCTGCTCGTCGGATTCGTAGTTCATCAACGGCCTGCTTCATTTTTACTCGATCTTCTGGGGAGAGGTCTCTCAAAACATAGAACGTTTCTCCTTTCAAACGTGAGGTTCGCTGGAGGATACGGCGGCATTCCTCTTCAAATTACCAATAAGCGCCAAACACGCTTTGGCCAGTACCACTTTAATCGATCCAAGGTATTTTAAATGAGAGGAAACTTGACAATGGTCATATTTCGTTTCAAGTGTCTATTCAATCGCTGTTTTCCACGTTATCTCAGCCATAAGCTCGATCAGTATGGCACGCCCGAAAAACGAGTTACTGCGTAGTACTCACAGTACAATGAAGGAGAATTTTGGGTTTTTGGATGCATGAGAATGATTATTAGTATGTGAAAGTCGTTGTTTGTATGCTAAGGAGTGAATTATAAATCATGTACGAAAGTATTTAAATGCGTCTCCGTGATTAATCAGTTTCCCGCTTCTAGCGACAGCAGCTCAGGTCAGGGCAGGTAGAACGGACGATAGAAGTCTTCGCCTAACGAGCGTCCACTTCCTTTTGACGGTAAGTGAAGCGGCCCCACATTAATATTGGATTGACTTCTTGCGTCTGTAAAGGAATGAAGCAAGAGCAATCTTTTCACTTTTATGTGTCGGCATCAAAATTTCCCTACGTATTCCAATGCAATTACAATATCTATGGAAAAAACAGACCACCAAACATCTTAGCCACTTATGAAGGCTCCAACAGACTCACATTCCACAAAATCGGAAAAAAAGTTTATTCCAGATGTTAGCTACTCGGTACATAAAAATTTTGCCCTGAGGTTCAAACTAGCTGTATGTTGTTTGAGTTTCAGGCGATACCCGCGCAGGTGGTCTGACATAGCTAACTTAAAAACATGGGTGAGCCTAATACCACTACTTCCCTTAACGACCTTAAACGTCTCGATCAAATCCCCCTTAACCTACGCCGTTCCGGGGAAGATAATCACAAGCTACTTAGGCTATCTTCGTACGACTTCCCTCCTTGACTATCCAGCATCCTGCTCGCAACTTGCTGAATCTTTTCTATACACCTGGCGTCACTACGGAGGTACGGTGCCAAGGCCTAAACACAATACTCCAGATGTGGTCAAACCACCGCTTTATGTAACGGCAAGAATACTTCTGATTTGGTGTTGCGCAACGCCCTCCTAAGACGAAATAACTATTGTAGGGTTTTATCGTCAGCAAAGCGACACTGTGCGGAAGGCTTAAACTTGTTCACCATGATGACACCTAGATCGCGGGCTTCATCAGTACTCCGCAAGGATAGAGTTCCCGCAGGAGACTGAACTGCAGTTGCGCTACCACTATTGGTCAATAGTTGACACTGATTGTCATTCAGAGATAGATCCCATTGGCTCGACCAATTCACTACAGGGATTGTGTCCTTAGCCAATGTCTCTCGGTTTCCCCTACTGACTAGCTTTAAGCCATTTGCGAAGATATAGCAGGAATCCTGAAGAAGAGGGGCCAGGTCATTTACAAACGTAAGAAACAACAATGGACCCGGTACCGAACCTTTGGGGACACTGCTGTAGGCATGACCCACACTTGAACTCACTTCCCCAACCCTGACTCTGAATGTCCCACGTAATAATCCAGAGCCACAGTAAAAGTGGAGGATGCAATCGAAACGTTGTCAGCTTCTTAATAAAAAATCAATGCTTCACTGGTTCAAAGACTGTACTGAGGTCCAAATAGCACACCTATACCGACATCCCACTATCAGGACAGCGGGCAATCTCATTTAAAATGCACAATAAATTAGTAAGACTCGACTTATTGTTAAGAAAGCCAAGCGGTTTTGCTCTACTTAGATTGTGTTAAGTCAAGTGCCCACAGATCCTATTTCCTATCAGCTTTTCCAAGTACTTCAGCATGACGATGGTCAAACTGACAAGTGTATGTTTAAGAGGCACCGAGTTAAAAAAACCCTCGTGGATGGCAACAATGGTCGCCTCCTTCCAATCACGTTTCAGCTTGCCTTCCTGAAGAGACGAGTTGAATAACCGTGACAGCACAATGAAGGAGACCTGCCAGCTGCCTAACTATGGAGGGATGTACACTGTCAGGACCAGTTGAGTTAAAAGGGTTCCAACGGGCCAACACTGTGAAGACCTCTGGCACATTGAGCACAATTTCCCGCACTGTACAGCTACTTGCACAGTGCGGCTGTGATGGCAAAACTGACCCATTATCTTTCCGATGCAGATCTTGGTAGACATGTAATTGCGCCTCTAATTATCGACGTCGTCTACAGCCTGGCTGCCGTCCTCCATAGCGAGACAGCCGACCACCTCTCTTAGAGAAGCCTTTGGTTGGACCCAACTGTAATAACACGTGGTTGTTTTCGCAAATTTGACCAACCTAAGCTCATAGGAATACTTCCCCTTCCAATGTAACTTAGTAGCCATGTTCCGACACCTTTTATATGGCGACAAACGTCGGAGGCCCAGAGGTTATTGATACTTTTTCCCCTCAGCATTGCGCCACTTTATCGCTCTGTCAATCCTTCTCCTCCACCATCGGGGTTCCCAAGTTGTCTCCTTGGGAGTAGAGGAGCAAATTCGTTCAGTAACGGCACGATCCCACTTTTGAGTAGAAACCACCTCTGTTCCAAAGTGGACTTGTCCTATCCAGGGATGCAGTTGATTTGAAGAGCTCGAACCCACGGCTTCGTAAAGTCAATAAGATTTAAATCCTTCCCATTCAACGGTTCTCTGCAAGCCTCGGTGTGTCCAGGGAAAAGGGCAAAACGCGATAATCACGCTTACCCATGGGTGGCTCC